TTTTTTTTTTTTTTTTTTTTTTTTTTGGTATCAGGGATTGAACTTGGATCCTGGTGCTTGCAAGGCAGGCAGCAGCATAACTGAGCTAAATCCCCAAGAAAAGCAATCTTATGTTTTGTTCACTATCGTATATACAGCACTCAGAAAAGACTGATACAGAACAGGTACCTGTTAATATCTGTTGGGATTATTTAATCTTCCAAATAGCGTCTGAAATGAGAATAATTCCATTTTGCAAACGAGACAATTACTGTACCTAAGATCACAGAACTACTACATCTAGAGGGAGGATTCGAGACCAGTTCTGTTTTGAATCTGCTTCCAAACCCACGCTCTTTTTTCCACATTTGAATCATATTTTACAAAGACAGAGAGTTGAATAATCCTGACTCAATAATACTTTGATGGTGCATGACTGAAGATCACAAACATTGTCTCCCAACAGACCAGAACTATTTTTCAGTTCAGCCCCCCAAAAAACAAGTCTTCACAGTAAAAAACAAAATTTACTGTTATTTCCTGTAGCATATTATGATCTAAATAAGAATAAGCAATAAAATCAACAGGCATGCTGTCGGAACCTTCTATTGGTACAATGACAGTTACAGAGAGGTGGAAGGAGACTCAGGAATGATTCACTGTACTCCCTCAAATGTAATGACTATTTCAAATTTATAGTAGTCTCTCATAGATGGAGACCAACTTTGGCTAAACAAAGAAGAAAATGTCTGGTCCTCACCAGGGGCTCCTAAGCATTCCTACTGGATTGTTCTTTACAGTACGTAGTTGCTATGCTTGGATGTGTTCAGCTTATTTCATTCTAAAATGTCAAACTCAGTAAGTGAGCTGCTGAGGAACTGTTGTTCTACTGATGAGTATATTTGTTTGATTTTCTTTACTATAACAAAATCCTGAGTCAGCCTAAGTTTACCAAGAAAAAAATGTGCTGGAGATTTAGGGGTTTGGTGTCAGGATGACCTTGGTGGGGATTGGATGTCACATGGCATCACAAGCTAGAGAGCAAATGGGAGGAAAAGATCACACCTTGATGAGGGTGGGGTCCCACATTCCTTCCAAGGACACGCCCCCAGTGACCTCATGACCTCTCATTGGTCTCCATCTCTTAAGGCCCATTACTTCTCACCTTCAGAGTTGAAGATTATATTCATCTTTACACCAAGCAGTCACAGAAGAGTGTACATTAGTGGAGGGACTGTAAATGCTAGCTGATGCGTTTGCATGCCAAAAGCTCTGATTCTGATGCTTCTCTTTAAGCGCTGAATAGGGAAGTTGGTAAATATGAAAGGGACATTAAAGACTTGCTAGCATGAGACCAACTGCCCTAAATGAAATCAGAAGTGAGGATAATTTAGAAGAAATTTCTTTTTCACTATGTGATTCAGTGTCACTTAATGCCAGGTCTCTGTACCACATAAATTATTTTGCAGACCACCAGAGCTACTTCTAGAGTTTGGATCTTGAAAGTCCCTCAAGGCCCATGTGTGAAAATCCTGGTCCCCAATGTGGTGCTAGTGGGAGAAAAGGGAAGAGGCAGATGAGGTGGAAGTTTAGGTACTGAATGAAAGAATGCAGTGGGTATTTAAAGTATTAAAGAAATAGGAAGAGTCTGGACTGGCTACTGGGAAAAACTTTGTGACTATCTGTGATGGCAATCAGTGGCCTGTAAACAAATGGGAAATTTTAGAATAGCAGTTGGTATTGATTAATACAAGAATAAAACTATGTTGTGTGATGATGTAAGTCCTGGCAAGAGGAACAGATGAATTAGGGAACCTCTCAAGATTATTTTAGAGC